AACCATCACTGCTGCTGAGCTACTATTAACAGCATATACATCGGGGAAAAATCTATTCGAATTCTGAAACGGGAAAGAAATAATAAGGATGTGAAAATCAGGTACTCAAACCGAGCGCATAAATGAATCGTTGAATTAAACCTAGATACAGATGAATTTGCGATCGATAAAGAGAGAAGTATGTAGGAGTAGGACTCCGATTCAGGTAGTTTTGATACTAGGGTTTGTCTGAATAAACTAAAAAAAAATATCAATTATGACTATATATATTATCAAAAAGTATTGTAAAGTGTTCATATACAATGACACATTACTACAAAGCAAACTTTTACTTTAGAGATAAAAACATAGAGTTCTTACTTTGGTATTTTGTCTATATTTTACTCATATTTATGGTAATTTATTTATCATAGTGATGGGTATAACCAATACCCGATCCGGCTAGGCGCAAAGTGATATGTCAAATGTGACCGGTCAACAAATTAAGTGGCGTTCCAAATGGCGTAAAACATTTTGGAAATGACCGATCACCTCTTTTTTGAAAGGTAACCGGTAATGTTTTCGGCATGGTCATTTTCTTATAGGGCCGTTACTGGAGTCGGCTCGAGGGTTTAGCCCATCAGATGGGCACGGTTAGATTCTATGAGTTTAACTGACGAACGTGATGCTAGGCGAGGGCATGCATGGAGCCATCCTGTTGTACTACCTCGTCATCTTAGAAACTTAATGACGGAGCAAGAATCGAGCTAAACCGCTAGACAGCATAAACAAGGGCGAGATTGACTCTAAATGACGGTTAGGCCAGCGAGAAGCGGGTCAAGGGGCTATTTCCTTATGTAGGTACTGATTGAAGCTAAGTTTACACCCGAGAAAGGGCTTGTCACCTTAATTGACTTCTTCCACCCAATATAAATAGATTGTAAGAGGTGAAGGAGGGGCATTCATTTCATTCATATACATCTTTGTACACTCTTGAGATAGAGTTTGAAATATAGTTTTGGGCATAGGAATTACTTCCTGGTCTTGGTCATTTTTTGTGTTCTTACTTTCTTGTGTGTTTGGCTTACTTGGTAGAGCCTGTTTGACTTGGTCGTACCTGGTCAAACTTACCCGGTTTAATTTACACCATTCAGGATAATTTACTTCCCAGATATGGCCTACGCCTTGCAAGTCCTTGACTTCTTTCTTTACCAAGTCCCTCCTTTCACTAGACAAAAATCTTTCCTTCTATCTCACTTAGTGTGACCCATCAAGAATTGATAACTGACCAGAGCAATCATTGAGTCGTGGTGGACGATGTCAGTGGATGGGGTTTCAGGACCAAAGAGCTATGGAGGGGGGCGTGGTTTTCACTACCCTAGAGGGCTTCAAGATATACAATGCCCTAAATTTCAAATTCAAACTTACAAATAATATGGCCGAGTGTGAAGCCTTGGTGGAGGTCTGAGACTGGCCAAAACCTTACAAATCACACGATTAAAGATAAGATCAGATTCGAACTTGGTTGTTGGCCACATTAATGGGAACATGGAAGCAAAGGTGGGAAAAATGCAAGGGTATAGGGACCTTGCAATGGCTTTGTTTCGGGGTTTGACAGAGTATGTTCTGGAGAAGGTTCCGAGGGCTGAGAACACTGATGCTAACCTCTTATCAAAATTGACACAGGCCACCCCTGAACATGTCTCCGAGATGGCTCGGATTGAGACCTTAAAGAAAGCCAGCATCGATAAAATATCTGTCAGCCTTGTCACGGAGGTTGAACAGCCCAGTCTGGACCTGATCGAAGCGAACAATGTGTGGATACACGATTAGATGGCCTACTATATGACAGAAGAGCTTCCTGTAGATGAAGACCGGTCGAGAAAGGTGAAATTGCGGGCACTAAGATTTCAAGTGTTGGACGGGAAGCTCTACAAATAGGCGTTCGGTGGCCCGTTACTTAGATGTTTGACGAAGGCAGAGGTGGAGGGAGTGATAGCGTAGGTGCATGAGGGAATGTGCGTAGCCCACCTGATGTTAAGGATGCTGGCTCAAAGGATAATCTTGTTGGGTTATTTCTGGCCCACGATGAATCAAGATTGCGAAAGGTATGTCCAAAAATGTAGGACTTGTCAAGTCTTTTACAAGTTCCCAGGGAGACCAGCGACATATTATCACCGGGTGTCGAACGTCATCCCATTTGCGAGATTTGGAATAGACATAGTGGGAGCTTTTCCTCAGGCTCAAGGCGGAAAAAAGTATGTGATGGTGGCAATTGATTACTTTACAAAGTGGGTGGAGGCAGAAACATATGCCACCATCACACCCAAGCATTGCCAATGGTTTGTTTGGAAAGAATATTATTACACAGTTTGGAGCACCTCAAAATATCGTGACGGACAACGGACCACAATTCAGGAATCCCCGTTTCACAAAATACTTGGAGGACTTCTGAATCACGCATAATAAAGCATATGTGCCCTATCCGCAGGCAAGTGGAGAATGCAAACCGCACAATCGTGGATGGGATCAAAGAGCGCTTGGGCGAAGTCAAGAGGAATTGGTTGGAGGAGTTGTCGTACATTATTTAGGCATACCGGGTCACATTGAGGAGAGCTACTTGGGAGACACCTTTCGTCCTCACCTACGACTGCGAGGCTAGATTGTCTATAGAGGCCAAGATACTGACCTTCTGAAGGGAAAAGTATGAGGAAGAGGAAAATGAGACGAACCACCTGGCAGAGTTGAATCTGGTCGAGGAGAGGCGGATTGTTGCCGAGGAAAAAATGATCGAGTACCAACAGGCAGCCAAAGCTTACCATGATAACAGAGTCGGGCCTCGTTACTTTCAGGTTGGCGATGAAGTTTTAAGGCGTAGAGAAGCCAGCAAGCCCAGGGAAGGTGGGAAGCTTGATAAAAAATGGGAAGGTCCATACCGGATAGCAGCAGTACTTCGACCAGGGAGGTACATGTTGGAAAGCATGGAAGGGCAAGAGGTAGAGAGGTGTTGGAACTCGCACCACCTCAATAAAATTTACCGTTAAAATGAGATATGTCATGTACTTGAATTTTCCCTTCAATAAAGGAATAAACAAAGTTTTTCTACAATTATTTGTAGTCTCGATGTTTGGAACATGGTTTGGGACGAACTAATGTGTAAAAAAACCCTTTAGATAGGGGGCCTGATGTACGGGGTAATGCCTTGAGATAGGCTGGATCCGGAAGAGGGTTCACGTCCATACTTACATGGATCCTTACTGATCTTTTGATCGGAGGGGTAAGAAAGATGCGAAAAAATAAAAAAAAAGTAGGTAAGGAATAATAATAATAATATTACCGTCTTGCATGAGCCATCACTTGTGATTTGAATGCCTAAGGAAGGTCGGGGATTCCAAACCGCATAATACATGGACATGCAAGATTGGAGCGTCTTCACCGGCATACCCCCACAAGGGAAGATCGGGTCGGTTTAGTCGGCCTGATGAAAGAGGAAGACACATTAAAAAGTTAACTCCTGGAAGAAGGGGCCTTGGAAGAGGGGTGTTGCCCGGAAGAGGGTGGAACCTGGGAGAGGGTTCCTCCAATGAGTGGTCAATTCTTGACAAGCCAAACTTGAATTTCATTTTCAAGGTAACACTAGAATCCAAGTCATTTGGGGTGTGCATTTGAGGTTTGGCCACCACGTATGTTACATTTAACATACGGACCAGAGAAACACAATAGATTGGCTAACACAGAAATATGACCAGGCATATTTGGGATGGCTAGAATGGGATGCAAAGACCAGAAAAAACAACTAAAAAACAGACCGGTCACATTGGGGGATGTATGACCGATTGACCGGTCATGCTTTTGGTTCCAGCCAGCTAGTTCTTCAAATGAAGGATGGAATCGTGAGATAACATCGAGAAACTTGACCGATCGTAGGAGACCTATCACCTTAGTTTATCACTTGGAGGCTGGTGGTTTACCCTTCAATACCTGGCAAGTCAAAGTAATCAAAGGACAAAAGCTACGTCGTGTCAAACCAAGCAGAAGTCAAGGCTAGAGCCTATTACTTCGCTTGCAATATATTTCTTATGGGCAACCTGAGCCTGTTACTTCGCTGGCAATGTATTTCTTATGGGCAACCTGTAAAGTTAACTATCTTGGCAAGGTGGAAGGTTAAATAACAACACATGCATATTCTAATAAGCATAAGCCGGTAAGAATATCTAGTCAAGCCTATCATGGGAATTCAAACAAGACCATTCATGCACAAAATGTATCACACTGGAAGTAAAGATTAAGTTGAATTCTAGAAAATTAGTTTCGACAAAGTTACATCATAAGAAAGACCAGGCATTTTTTTGGCCTTGGAAGGAATGAAAATGGATCCTAACCTACACTACTTTAGGGGAAATGGGGGGAAGGCTCCACTTTATACAGAGTCAGGAGCTGCATGGCAGTTGGGTCAGACGAGGGGTCCCTCTTCTGAACCGACCCTTTCAATTTTTTGACCACACTCGAAGCCGTAGGACCAGATGTCCGTGATCATCTTCTTCCCCTAGGGCTCCTGGTACAGAGTCTTAAACAAAGCCATTGTATACTCCCAGTTGACAACGAATGCCTGGGCGACTTTTCTAGGGTGATGGGCTGACCATTCAGCGGCGGTGGAAGGGAAGGCTTCCTCTTTCGCCTGGGCATCTTCTTCCACAAGAGCAAGGCCGTATTTCAGCTAATCAATCTCTTCCCGCAACCTGGAGATCTCGCACTCTTGTTCCTTCACTTTTTCTAGTTGAACCTGGATGAGATGTTCTAACCGGGCCGGGTGGCTTCATTTGATAGGGAGAGGTTCCGGGCAGATAGGCGCTTCTCAATTTCCTCCCGATCTTTTACCTCTTGCTTGAGGGAGACCACATGGGCTTGGAGACAGGAAATCTGCTCATCTTTTGATTCCAGAACAGACTAGAAAGAATTAAACAAAGGAGATCAAACCCAGCCAGATTGACAAACAACGTAAACCACCGGTATGAGATAGCTACTTACATTATAGAGCATGTGGCCAAGGGCGAGGAGCAAGTCCTCGGTAGATACCCTTGGTAGGCAAAGAGGACCGGTGGATTTCTTCTTCTTTTTGGCACCATCATGGTGGTCTTTCGCACCCTTCTTTTTCGTCCCCATCTCCGAATGAGGTGACCGGCTCTTGGTGCGAAGATGGTCAGAAATCGGAGAGCATCGGGCACTCGTCCAATGGATAGCTTCATTCGGAACTGGCCTCGAAGATTTCTATGGCACGGGGGAAGGCTGGCCCCGACATTCAGCTCATTTAGCAAATCCTCATCGTTCGAGATCGACTCAGAATCAAGCACAATGAACTACAAGTCAGGCCGTAGAAAAGTGAGAGGGCAAAACATTAGATACCGATCTCGTAAAGTTACAGCAAAAGTTATGAGTTCTAATAAAGAATTCACTGACCTAGACGAGGGGACCCAGCCTCAGCATGAGTTTCTAGGGAGGGTTCCCTGTTATATTCTGCATCATGGGACTTGGTGGCACCCTCATCCTGAAAAGGGAGTTGGTACATCCAACTACCGTAGGTGTAGAGGTTCCCGGTTGAAGGGTCGCCGTTGAGGAGTTTCTCACAGGCCTCCTTACCTGGTGGCACCCTCATCCTGACAAGGGTCACCGTTTCGGGTTCACGAAGCCGGTCCCCCCATTGGAGTTTGAAAAAGGGAATTGTTCCTTGCGGAACTCGACGAATATGTACTAGGTTTTCCATTTCTTGTGGCTAGGTTGGAAGGTCGGTCACGAATGACCTCTTTAAACGAGAGTGGAAGTAAACAAACCCTGGGTAGCTCTTTCCACCGGGTAAGACGTCAAACATGTATAGAAAGAGGTCTAGGGAGAGTTGAAGTTTTAGGGATTGATAGATATTTACGAAACAATTGAGGAAACGGTGTGCGTTGGGAGTAAGCTTACAGGGCAGAATAGAAAAGCTAAGACAAATATCAACAAGGAGAGGACGAAGGGGGAGAAGGATACCACCTTCACCGGATCTTCGCCAGATCTTCGCCAGTTAGGGTTGTAGTGAAGAAGGTAGCCGTTTAGAAGGTTAAGCCTGATTTCACTCATGGTCTTTTTCGGAACCTTGGAGGGGATAAGGCGTACAAGCCTAAATTTGATTGGAAAGAAGCCCATGTCCTCAATCCGCTCAACCCATTCCTCCCAATCATCGGTATCTTTGTCAAAGTGGCCGGGCATTTGGTTGAGAGGTACGGGCTTCTAGGGGACAATCTCCCTCGTTTGGGAGGCCACTTTCTTAGAAGAACGGTGAACGAGGGGGGTTGCGGGTTTGGAAAAAAGATGAGGACTCAAACTTAGAAGTAGAAGGCTGAGAACCCGACCCCTGGGCGGAAGCGTTTTGACTATCGCTCTAGGAAGACATTGGAGGGGAATATACCGATCTAATATACAAGGACTATGAGGACCAGGGGCGGAGGGAGGGGGGCTGCCAGGGCACGTGCCCCCCCCGGCGAAGATCCGGCGAAAAGGTGTGATTTGCGATGTCAGTCAAAGGTGGTCGCGGTGTTCGCCCTGCGGTAGAGCCTGCCTGATTGCCTTACTCTCTGTTTTCTAGTCTTCTTTGAAACATAGAGTATATGATTTTTTAGATAAAAAAACGGTGTCTTAAAGCTCGGCGGCTCCAATAGGTCATTTTTAGTTTTTTTTACTATGACTAGGCCTTTCTTAAACAAAAATACCCTTCAAGCCCAAATGTAAAGTGAAGATTAAATATAAGTTCATATTTTGATTTTTTTAAAAATTTGGAGTTCTGTTTTTCCATTTAACTTCATTTGGTGTTTATTAGCAGTGTTTTATGTTGTCCAAAAAAATTACTCCCTCCATCCAAAAATATTCTTCCTGTTTGACTCTTTAGAGTCTCGAAATTTACACTTTGACCGTTAATATCTATATTTATACATGTATATATTTTATAAAAAATTGATATATCAAAACTACGTTAGAATAAGAATATATTGAAGTTAATTTTATATTATAATATAATGTATTTTTTCTACATATCGGATTCAAAGTTTACAAATTTGACCAAGAAAAGTCGAATGGGAAAATAATTTCCGGACGGAGGGAGAAATGTTTTGTCATTTTGAAAAAAACATATAAGTAATAATATTATTTCGTTGTTATATTTGGAATGATTTGAGATAGAATATATTACATTTTATGTTATATCATATTCCCTCCGTTCTTAAAAATGTTTTCTGTTTTAACCTTTTTTGTCAAACAGTGACATTGTCTAACCATAAATTATAAGAAAAATATATTTAATTATAATATAAATTCTATATAATTGGGTTTATCTTAAGATATAGTTTTTATATATCAAATTCATATATTGTTAGATTATGCTTGATTTGTTGTCAAAGTGTGTAACTATTTGACCAAAAAAATTAAAATAGGAAATGTTTTTAGGACTGGAGGAAGTACTAATCTTTAAAAAAATTCACGCCCAAACCCCTTGTAG